CACTGAATTATACGTTTTCATTCTTCACTGTGGACAAATACTTAAGTGGCTGTATAAATTAATTGTACTAGATGTTTATGTAATATAACCATTTGTAACATCTGTAATTGTCTTTCTGTCTTTTAGAGATGCATCAATCCATATTTGTAATTGATGTAAAGCCTGCAGTTGAACGCTGCACAACATGTTGCAAACTTTACCACTGCCCCCTCAGTCCTACATATAAACCCAGCCCATCGTACAGGCTTCAGCGCCATCTAGAAGTCCACATAAAAAATGCCATTACATTTAAAGGTAAGTATAGCCATATCTGTCTATTTATATGTTCACTTGTTTTCGTGTTCGTCATAGTCTATTTAAATGTTTTTTGTTTCCTTGATCTCCTAGATAAGAAGATTTGTAAGTGCAATTTGCAATGCAGGAATTCTGGTCATTTTCATTGCCCTGTTTGCAACAAAACAATCATAACCAAGAAAGATATGGAAAGACATCTGGAGGCTTGCCAAAGTGCCACACAACAAACATTTACCTCAGCTTCTTCCCCATTGGAACACAACTTAGAAGTTAGTTTATCTGCATCTACAGTTCAAACCGACCCAAGTGCCACAATGTCTCCCCCGTTTCCACCAACTTCCACTTTTAAACAACATTCACTTCTTGGTCCCTCTGAAGTTTATTCTGGAACGATTGTTGTCCCATCTGCCCAGGAGACAGAAACTAAATTAATTTCAAATAAGGTGAAATGTCCTCACTGCCAAAATGTTATCTATAAAAAAAACATGACCAAACATATTGTGAGAAAACACGCTGAAAAATCAAAGGACATAACAGTGACTGAACATTTGAAAAGTGTCTGTGTGGATGCCACAAATGGGATCTCTGTAGTTCAAAAAGCAAGTCACGGCTTTTCTGTGCCCATACATGTGCAAAACAAAACCTGGGGTCATCAGCACAAAGTTCAGTGTGAGTTGGAAAGCTGCAGGCAGTATCATCTGATGGCATTCAGAAGTGGATTACCATCTAGCCATTGTGAACACATCCACTCACTAGAGTACTGCAGTGGAACAGCTGCCGAAGAGTATCTGCATGAAGATGTCTTAACTGAAATGGTGGACTTAAAATTCTTCGGTGAGGCTAAAAAAGCAACATGTGTGAAAAGGCTTAAGAATGCACAGGCAGCTCATATACCTTTCTGTGTTGAAGTGCCATTTACAGAACCCCCCAAGCAGTTTTGTTTCTCCATTTATGAACCTACTTTACATCAGTATAGTCGCCTTGGGAGGATCATGGTGACATACAACTCAACAGCTAACACATGGCATTGTCCTTGTGCTAAACCAAGAATGTCATGTGTACACAAGAACATAGGCAAATGGCATTTGTTTCAAAACAACCGGGACGTGTTCAGAACAGAGACTGCAACTCAACAGCACCCA